TTCCCGGCATTTCCAGGCCAGAGACGCTCCGCCACTGATTGTGATTCAGCAATTGTATTGTTTTCTGATTTCCGATCACCCAGCATGGACCAAAGAGCTGGACCGTCATACCTTTCATCTCTAAGAACAACTATTTTTTTTTCTTTTTTGACATAAGGACGCATGAAGTTTTACTGTTTAGCGGTGAACTGCTCCACTCCTATGCACAATACTCAATGTTTTTTTATTTTATTTTGGTTGTTGCTAGCGAAAGTTTTAATTGGTGGAAAGCTCTGAGTCATTGCAAAGATAACTGTAACCTGGGAAACAGTTTTCAGGCGTTGCGAAGAGCTAAATTGGTTTCAAAGAGCGTCGACCTCAAGCGCACTTGATGAATGTCGCGCCGGTTGATGAAGATTCGTTCATACCTGGCAAAGTGACAGCACTGACTTTCCCCTACTGCCAACATTTTGTTGGTAATAAGAGAAAGAGAAAAAAAAGGAGGTCGTAAAATGAATTTGGTATCGCTGGTGTTGCTCCACCCGACGCCTACAGCGTAACTTTAGCTACCGCCGACATCGACATTTTAGCCACTGCAATAAACCTAACCAAATGACGTAATCGAACTTGGCGTTCGACAAAAAAGACAGCAAATCCTGTTTCTGTGAGATTTGAGAGCAAACAGACACGTCGTCCGTGTCTTTTATGTTTTCTATCCTACAAAGCCGCGTTTTAAATTTTCAAGAATATTTTATCGACAAACTCTCCAATTCAGTTTTACGGGTATTTAACAATCCTCGTTTACCGACGCCAGATCAAGAGCATAGAAATCGCTGCTAAGCAGTGAGATTCTTTCTTACTGTTTAAAGTAATCCTTTTGTCTTTAATATACGGCATTGGAATGAAGGACTCTGTGGTGTTTTCAGTTTTTGTTGTTCACTTTTAGCCATACGCTTCCTCAATGACGGTTGGTGGCGTGGATTATTAAAACTGTAATCATTGTGCTTTGCTTCTCGACCGCATACATTGAACCAGGGACGGATCCAGAACTCCGTTTTAGCGGGGGCGGAAAATTTTTTAAGGATACTATTCTTCCATTCTTTCTTGCATGCAAAGGGGGTCCACCCATGTCAAATTGCCCTCCGAGATGGGGGGAGGGAGGGGGGTCGACTTTGTTTGGGGGGGGGGGGGGGCGGCCGCTCCCGTCACCCCCCCCCCCCCCACCCCTTTTGGATCCGCCACTGCATTGAACTTTTGTCGCATCAAGAAAAACAAGAAGAAAAAAAAAACCCTCAAATTTAGAAACAAATACGGTAAAACTTTGTGATGCGATAACGTCCGCATTTTTTCAAGCTGTCACCGATTGTTTTTATCAAACGCTGGTTGTAAAGTAACAAATAAACAAAATAAAACTGCAAACCCTGCCTACGTTTGCGTTCACGTTACGCACGAATCGAAGGTATATCGCTGCTTCCGCAGCAAAACTCAACAACGCGTTGGCATCGCACATCTCGTACGAAGCACGGTCGCTTGTTTACATGGGTTCTCTGCCGGTTGGGGTCATTGGTTTCGTTTTCTCGCCGCTATCAAGGTGGCGGACGTAGGTCTTGACGCTCTACCAGATGGCGCTCTACATTTCGTGTATTTTCTATTGGCTACACCTCCTTAATTATATTTATGGTTTTAATGCGAAAGCATTAACTGTCCCATAAAGCGAGCCGACGTCATCAGCCGCGCCAAACGGCAGATGAATTCGTGAAGCCGCGATCTGAGGCATTCCAGCTTTGAAGCCACGCAAAAAGCAACGCAAAAAACCTCGCAAACGGCAAGTAAATGAGCCGAAGGAGGCCGCCGCGCGTCAGTTTCAATCAGCGCCACCCCAATGCGCTGCGTGCCCGCGCGCCAACAAAAGGGGAGGCACGGCCGATGTCAGCGAGGCGCGGCAACTTCACGAGGACGCGCGCAAGAGCGACATTCATGCTTTCGAATCCACAACTCATAAGAAGTGCTTAAGTGTACCTCGAGCTTTTTTTGTTTTCAAATAAATCTGATAATCTAAAAAAACTCGCCGGTAAAATGTTTTTTTTTTAATTCTCCAAGTCAATCTCGAATTTCGACGCCACAATGTAAAAAGAAAGACAGTTCTTTTGCACGACCAAGTTTGTTCAGAGCACAAGGCCAGTGGTCACGGGAAATGCCACTCTAGTTGGCTTTCAAATACCGGATCGTTGACTGCGCGCACGGCAATATATACAAGCGCATTCTTTTGAATTAAGCGCACGTTTATCCTCGAATATCATTTATTTTTTCTATGTTTTAGAAAATGTATATCACGGCAATATTGACCTACGAATTATGTAGAATTCGAATTCTAACAAAATTGAACTAAAAAAAAGTCAAATCAGAATTTTAGGCAAGAACTAAACTCGGAGAAACACCCTCCAAATTTGCCGAAAAGCAAACTCCGAAAACTCGGAATCCTACTTATATTGCAGCATATGAGGTGGGTTACTTCTGAATGGTGGTCTTGTTCTTTAGATGAAAGGAGTGTGTGCTAAAAGTAAGCTACATCATGAATTAAAAAAATAGAAAAATTAAGTCATCAAAGCCTGGCAGCAATTATATTATATCTGTTTCTGCTATTATCGAAGTGTTTTGTTGGTTCTATGTATACTTTTTTTCAATTCCTCCGATTTTTATTTCGTTACCAAAACAGCGGGAAACAAATATTCGTTTAGACAGAACATCGCACCTTATACTCAATGCACACGCTTCATATATGCTTCTTTGCACGCGATTATTCTTCCGCGTCTCGATCTCAATGACGAGTGAGAGTATAGTCTACGCAAAGCATGCATTGGGTTGCTAGCGGGAGCTCAATGTCATCCCTTCAAAGTACAGTTGTGCACGCACGCACAGGGCCCGCTATCTTTAGCGTACGCTGTACTAAAATTCGCTGACAAGGTTTCGGCATAGCCTTACCTCAGGCTACCGTACGGAGTGGCAGGCACGTAGCCAGGATTTTGTTTCAGGGGGGGGGGGGGGGGGGGGCCCGCCCATGACAAAATGCTGTATGAGGGGGAGGGGGGAGAGGAGGTCCCAGCAAAATGGAAGATTTCGGGGGGGGGGGGGGAGGGGGGGGGGGGCCGGGCCCTATGGGCCGCCCCCCTGGCTACGTGCCCGCGGAGTGGTATAGATCCGTTGCTCTGGGACAGGGGGCGCGAGCGCGTCCGCAAGACGCGACCATGTTATGCTGGCAGCACTTTCCAGGCGGCGCTGTAACGTTCGATTTTGCACGTGCCACGTTCGAATGCAAGCATCTGTCAGCATCTGTGGACGCGCGATAACAAAACGTCTAAGAAAATAAAAACTAAAATAAAAAAAGAATCATGCAGCTCGTGGCCTCAGCGTCCCATTCAGCATTATCATTTTATTGCGTTCTTTCATAGCTACCATGAGCCCGTATGTTTCCTTTACGTGATAGCGAAGCTGAAGCTACTTGCATAAACATGTTCCCCCGAACGATGCTCGCACTGCACGACTGCGCGTGCTTGGAAGGGACACTCCAAGCTCTGAGCTCGCTCTTGAAGGCTCTGCTACGCTGGCACTTAGAATGGAACGGAGTAGAAAAAACTGTAGTGGCGAAGCGTGATGACGCACGTTCGAAACGCGAGCCAAATATTCTTGTTTACTCGCATGGAGCGCTGCTCAAAACTTGAGAGCTACGGGCCTATTGCTACCGAAAGCGATCGCGTTGCGACTTCGAAGCTTGCTTTCTAACGCGCCAGGAGATTCGCCGTGGCCCATGGTAAATTGGGGTAACGCTATGCTAAAACTTTTTAGTATAACGAGGACTACAACGGACTATTACAATTGGTGTAGTACACTTGCGCTAAGCAAAAAGAAAACATAATCGGGGTTCACATGTGCGAAACCTAAACACCGTGACATTTCATGGAGCAGCGACTGAAGCTTATGACTCTATTCGTCTTCGTCTTCCGACCCCATTTTGTAATATGATCTATTAAGTTGCGGTCCCGTGAAGCATAATACGGTATTGGAGTATGCCTCTAAAATCTTTACTGAAATCGTGTGGTGTCATTTTATAACCTTAGCGCTAAATTGTCACGGCATGAACGTACTTTACACGTGCACCCCGCTTCTGACGCAGTTATTAATGCGAGAGCATTAACTCTCCCATGGAGCGAAGCCGGGGTTGTCCCCCCCCCCCCCCCCCCCCCCCCCCCCCGGGAAAATTGAAAACCTTCCTTCCGCATTTGGTTGTAGGACTTGTAAACTTAGCAATCATGGGCAGGAAATTACTGGCATGTCTCTGCTTATCGTTAAAAAAAAATATTGAAATGTAGAGGTTTTTTTAGCTTATTCTTACGAAAATGTATGTACAAAGCGTTGTACAGAGAAGCGGTCCAGTCAG